AACGCATAAAAAGACAGTATAAGTCATTATAATCAGTAATTATGTCCCCACTGGATGCAACAAATGCCTCGTTTATAATGGGTTTTATTGGTTTTGTCTCGTCGCACCGGGACACAGCATCATATGGTAAGGGGCGTAACATTTCCGTCACACTTTGCGGTGTTCGGCCAATCACAATGCTCTGGGTCAGCTGGCCAATCAGAGCAGACTGCGCTTGTCGGAAGGAGGGACTTTGTAGAAAACGAAGCGTTTGAGAGAGGCGGGGCATAGAGGACCTACAATAATGTACAGTATTTGAAAAATAATGTGTTTTTTGAACATTAAAGCATGTCAACATATTCTGTTACACCAAATACACCAAATAATGATCTTTAAAAAAGCATCATATGACCCCTTTAAAAGAAAACACACTGGTAAGATCTGTGATGTTACAGAAGATCGTCACCTACCTTCACAGTGCATCGACCCAGTGAGTGGTATGTATGCGATTGAAAAGTCATTTCGCAGACCATGTTCTGTAATCCACGTACAGAAAAAAAACTCAGGTCCACATCCAGTTGTCGCATGTGAAATTGATGAATGCATTTCCAATGTAGAATTTTCCGCTCAAAGTGGCTTTCAGCACTTTGAGTGTATACATTTGAAGTCACTGCAGTTCTGTCCATGGCCCAACAGGATACCAGTTGTCCTTGATGAAGATGTCTTGGTAGACATGATAGCCGCAAATGTGTTTGGGGAACAGACCAAGACAACCTGCATGGCTACAGAGGCAGCAGCAAGTGCGGCTGGTGTTCCACTGTCTGTTGAGTTGACTATTGGGTGTCCTTCTACAAAGAAGTATATTTCTGTGTATGAACCCAGTGTCATACTACAGCAGACTTGATAGAGTCATTGCTTCCTATGACAGCACTCGCAACACATGGCATTGTCCCTGTGCAAAGCCAAGAAGATCTTGTTTGCACAAAAACATAGCCAGGTGGCATCTTTTCCAGCTACACAGGCAGTTGTTTGTATCATCACCCATCGACAGACCTGCACAGGGCCTAGCACAAGAACATGCTTGTCAGGAAAATACCAGATTGGAATATCCCCCCAGTGGTGAAGGTCTCAAACAGATGGTGTATTACCTGATGAAAAACAAATCTCTGCCAGCCGAACTCCCCCAGAAATACATCACAGGCTCAATGACAATCAATGACATTCCCAAACACCTTGTACCAAAGGAGACTGTTTGCTCTGAATGTATGGGCAATGTGGTCCTAAGTGAGCCAATGTTGATTACTTCTAAAGGAAAGCTTATAACATACACTGGCATTGTTGAGGGTAAGTATGAGTAAAATCTATCTAATTAGTGTAACATCACTATGTTTAGCTGTTTGAATGAATTCTTTTTTTGTGATTGAATACGTTTTTTTTTAAACAGGATTTTCTACATACTACCGCATGTGCAGCAACTGTGGTCTAAAATACCGTCATCAAGAGTGGACTGATGTTCTTCACAATTTTGATGATCATTTGCTGATGTCATTACACATGTGCATTATCCTGCGCCATTCACTCCAGGTTTGATATTATTGAAGGAATTAATTATATAGTGTTCTTTCAAAATGTCTATATGCTACTAACTAAGCTTGTCAAAACAGACTCATCATGCCATTAGCAGAGCTGTTGAGGTTTTGGAGACCACAACACAACAGAAATTTCAAGTAAAGACAAAATCCTTCATGCGTACATGCATTTTGAAGCACACAGACCACAAATACGCATACTCCTGTGTTAAGTCCGGCTACCATCCAGCAGTTGTTGTGATGGATCTTCACAAAAAGGCGGCATTTAATATGCCCGGTAGGTCATATCAAAATTAGAGCTACTTAATAATATTAAAAATACATGTTCTTTGTTTCATTGAGAATTTTTATTGCAGTGAGTGACATTCCTGCTCCACCACCTGAGTATGATGGTCGAGTCAATATGAAAGACTTTTGGGCATCCGTGACTGCCGAAATAGTTAGCCAGGGCCTGTTGGGCAGTAAGGAGTTATTTTGTTTATGTTAAAGTTAGACATATGTTGCATAATGCATAGCTACAATTACAATTATTTTGCAATAATTGCATTACACTAAATTGAGCAAAGGAAGGTACTAACAAAACGTGTATATATTTTGAAGGTTTCACTGTTTTAATATTGATAAAGTACATTTTTTCAGGTGCCCGTCAAAATCCTTTTTTGGTGTCACCATCATACAACTACTGGGCTCCTTGGATAGGTCCCAACACCAGAAAAGAAGATACAGTTTTAAATACTGAGTATGCCATGATGCACGCTCCAAGACCAGCTACTGAAGATGCCGAACTTGAAGTTACCGAAGAGAGGCTAGAAGAAGTGCTTACCAATCTTAAGGTTATTTTGTTGTTTTGTTTTTACACAAACAAATCAATCTTTTGGATATTTTTTATTGCAACCTTGTATGTGCAGGTGGATGTGGTGCGACGCCTTTGCAAGCAGTGTGGTCTAGACCCATCAGGTTCCAAAATGAATCTTGTTGTAAGACTTAGACAGGAGATGAGAAACAGGTCTTCTTATGACAAGGTCTTCCAGAAGGTTTGGGGGGCTTCAGGTAGGATTACTTTTGAGAAATATTTTGCTCCATGTCATGTGAATGGTGTTGTGTTCAACCCAGTATGGAACTGATTTGATTTTTCAAGCGTATTGCTTTCAGTATAGTTTTGTTTAAGACAGCTTAGAACAGCGGTTCTTAATCCTGGTCCTCGTGACCCCCTGCTCAGCATATTTTGCATGGCTTTCTTGTTTAACACACCTGATTCAGATAACCAGCTCGTTAGAAGAGAACTCCATGAATGAACTGTGTTCCGATTGACATCTTCCCTACATAGTGTTCACTGCTCTCTACTCCCTGCACACGGGAAATCGACTGAAGTTTACTTCACTTAATAACACAAATTTGTGCTACATCACTGCCTGCAGCAGTGTCTCCACACAGACAAAACTTACTACAGAAGTATGAAGGGTTATTTAACCGTAATCATGAGATTTGCATAGAAGTCACGTCTCGCACACTTTAATGCCCTTTGAATGGAACATATATGCTTCTTTCGAACTGGAATCATGGCTGAATATCCTGTGATGTCCACTTGGCAGGGCACTTATGGTCGAATGGAACAAACCCCTGAAGCGTGAAAATGTGCAGAGCGGGGGCCGCGAGGACCAGGATTAAGAACTGCTGGCTTAGAATGATATATATTTATTAGCGTAACATACATATTTATTTTCTCTTTAGGGGGCTGGGCAGTCATCACATGCCCCTGTGGAGTTGTGTATTCGCTGAAGTTCCTTATTCGGGCAGAGTCTCCACGTGACTATGCAGATTGTCTTTTGTCTTTTAAACATTTCCCAAATATCTATGACTTTGCAAGGGGCTTAGCCACATACACTTACCTAAGGGAGCTAGAATGTGTCCCTTTCAGACCTTATGAGGAACGATTAAAAGAGCCCACTCCAGAAAATATCAAGCTGGCCGTTGAGGGTAAGCTGAAAGTAAACCTCCTTTGGTTGAAGGAAAAGAAGGACAACGTGGACCCAGACTGTCACCCTATTACAGGTTCAGCTGAACATTACGCACTTTACGATCTGTTTCATGAAAAGAACACAAAAGATGCTCGAGATGCACTGTGTAACGTTCAGATAGTCCCAGAATTGGCAGGCTGGGTGAACAGTCAATGTGCTGAACAGCTTTTTTCTGACATGAGAAAAAACAATTACTTCCTCAACACACTCACTCCATCTGGACACATTTTCTTGATGCGAAATATACTACAGCATTATAACACAAAACGAAATAAGAAGATAGAAGATGGCATCAGAAAGATTGTACCACAGAATTCCCAGTTGCGTTTAGATGAAAATGGCCAAATAATAATGGGTAATTCAGTTAATTTTCAACTACAATTTCTTTATAAACATCTTTATGCCTGTCATGCCATGTTGGTTATATTACATTTTTATATTACAGAAGCCGCAGGCTCAGATGGGGCACCAGCAGCGACAGCCTCAGATGGGGCACCTGCATCCGTCGCTAGACTGATGCGTGCTGAAAGGGAAATAAAAGACTTCCGGCGCTGGGAATGCCCGAAGACTTTGGTAAATGCCCTTTTGACGGTATTCAATCGACCTGTTGATTGTCATGATTTCACAACACTTGTTCGTGCTCCACAACATTACTATCATTTGTGGGGTTGGGGACGTTGTGGAGAGTGCTGACATGCATTTTTAATTTTCCAGCATGTCAATGTGTTAGATTGCACAAAGCAACAGGATGAAGTCATCGGTTCTGTCGGCACAGCAGTCTTAAGAAGAACAGACTGTGTTGGCCTGGGAACCAATTGCGAACTGGAGGCAACAGTAAGTGTCATTTATATGGTTCCATTACTGTTTAAGCTTTGTTTACCTGTATTAATGTTGTTCTTTTGCTAGTGTTGTGGCAAAAACAATTATTAACAAATAGCATCACAGTGTAAGAGACAAGGAATCAAATTATATTTAAGGAAAGAAGTTTATTTTCCTTAAAGAGGTATGTTCATAATGTTTCAGCAGCTACCCTGGAACACAACAGACCTAAAAATCACACTGAAACCAGACAGCCTTATATACTGTTATCACCCCCCACTTCTTACAAGGTTCCTTCTCTGTAAATTTAAAAAACAATGGTCCTTCTAACCCCCTGGGCTTTTATTATCTTCACATCTGTGAGGTCAACAACCCCTCTGTCTTTCCTGCACTAAAGAGTTCAAAGGCTCTTTCTGATCATTTGTTTTTACTGTGTGTTTGTGTGCCTTCACACCCGTGAGGCCAAAGGTCTTTATTTATGACTAACCCCACACAATGTCTAAGAAAGTAAATAAGAAAGAGTAAAACATTAATTTTCCTACAACAATTCCTCCTCTTTATCATTCTCTGATAAACGATTTGGATTCATTAACATTAGTTTTGATTATAACAACTTAAAAACACGCTTGTTTCTAATTCTAAGCAAACTCATACATGATTATAATTGTTTCAAGTCATTTCATCACAGTTATACTCCTCATGTCTGACTTTCGTATACCTGATCATTCTTCACATTTCTGTGTAAATGTCATCACTCTCGTCACTCTCATAATCATCACATTTGTGTTCACTATCTATCGGATAAGCGGTCAGTTTTACTGCTTGTATGGGCGTCCCAGCCCTGACCAATCTCTGTACTGAGCTGGAAATACACCTCATAATGCATGGCAAGCAAAACAGAATCAGAATTCCTATCACTACAATTGGCAGAACAGTTTGAATTATCCAGTACATCCATCCTCCCCACAAAGACATAACCCACCCGGCCCACAGGTTGTCAGTCCGCTCAGGTTCTCTTACGGCCTCTCTCATGTGTTCAATTATGTTGGTTATATTATCACTGTAATCAGGAATGTTAAAACAACAAGATACCCCCAGCATCTTACACACTCCGCCCCTTTCTGCCGTAAGCATATCAAGAACTAAACGGTTTTGAATGACTGCGTCCCTCAGTTGCCTCATTTCATCACTTATCAATGTCAAAATGAATGTAGTCTTACAAAGTCCACACATTCTTGGCAGTCTGAATGGGTACCACGGTCTTGAACGATCCATCTTGTCTAGTGATTGCAGCTGAATATGATGCATTGTGTTAGATAATTTGGTCTTTAGCACACTCAGAGTCTTATCAGCTTTTGTTGATCCACAGTAACTGTCTTCCTTTCCCAGTTTCCTCCCCGCAGCTCGTATTTTGCTCCGCTCGTCACTGTTGCTAGAATATAGGGATCTGCTGCCAGTAAATCTGTAAGGTTTGTCAGTTCGTACCTCTTTGCAATGATCAATGTCTCTGGTTGTGGCTGCACAAATGGCTTTACTCTGCACACCGGCCTTATCACTCCTCCTGAGTGACCTTGCTCTTGCACTTGGTGTTTGGGCTCGATCTTGGGGCTTATTGTTGAACTTGTTGTTGTTGTTGCTGAGGCTCCTCCTCCTGTTGCCCTTCCGATATGGGCGGAACTCTCCTGCAGTGGCTGGCGTGCACCCACGTAGCTCTCTCTCCGACCTTCATTGCTGGCTAAACCTAGTATTGAAGTGCATGAGCCATAAAAGGTGAGAACCAGATTTGCAAAACAATGCTGTCTTTCCAAAGTTTTCACTTTCTTTGTTTTATTTCTGACACCATTTACTGTGTTATAGGGAAGCCTCAAGCCTCAAGGAGTATGAAGTGGACTACATGTATGGTTGTCCCAAGGACCATGGGGTTCTTGCGGTATAATGTCCGAGTCACTAGCAATTGTACATTTTAGAAATGTTAACTCTCAGCATACTGGTGTTTGTATTCCTTGTACATGGAGTATACAGGGAGTGGTTTTTATACGATCTTGACTTCACCTGTGTCAGGATCACCCTGTTAGTTACTTCACAATGAAAACAGACAGGCCATTATCCTTTAATTTTTACCCACTACATACATGTATACCAAGAACAAAGACAGATAAATTCAAGAACTGGGCATTGGGGCCAATATCTTCTCTTTCATATTTTCAATTTTGTTTATTTGCTTATAGTGGCCAGCATCTGTTCTGGAGGACATTTTTATTGATGTGGTTCTCCAGGAGGGTGACCACATCAATTGCCAATTCTGACGCTGGCCCTGGTGTGCACTCGCTTCAGAGATCTTGTGACACGGGAAGCCTTCAGGAGACGAGCCCATTTTCTTTGGCTTGACAGTAAGTGTTCCCTAGTAGTTTTTGCATAACTTGTTACATATTTTTATACAAATCTTAAGAAATTCTTATGTTATTTGCTTGAACGGCTGGTTAATGAATTCCAGCCTTGTGGATTTTTGAATGCGTGTACTTTTACATGTGTACAGGTGTCACAAATTTGACTGCTTTCTCCACATGCTACAAGGAAGAGTATTACAAAATGTACAGACTGGAAACTTGTATGCAGTGTGGAGACATATTCAAACATTGCACTCCAGGTATGCATTGTTAGTTGTTGCCATGGAGTGTTGTGCTTTCAATGATGAATTAAAACATTACAAAAATAATGAACATTGAAATATTTATTTTCTTCGTTTCCTTTCTTTGCTAACCTGTAGATATCAGGTAGGTCGAGGACGAAGGGGGGAACTCATAAAAATTATTAGTGAAGACACCCACCCAGACTTCTGCAGCAATTTCTGCCAAATCTGTGCTGACCTTATTTGAGTGTGTTGTGTGCATGATGTTGTGGCTGCAGTGCAGTGCAGTATGAAAGGATGAATGAGTGATTTATCATTTAATTCTATGTGTAAGTTCTAATTTTGAATGCCCCTCTAATGTTGGTATGTTATTCTGTTAGCGATTAGTCAGTGTGCTTATGATATGCTCCCAATGTGGTTTTCCTTGTGTTTCATGTTCAAAGTTTCCTTACCGTATTCAGTGTCTGTTTTAAGTTGTGTTAATAATTTTTTTTTTTTCTATTTCATTGTGTTGGTAATGCATTTTGCATGCATTTATTTAAGTGAGATTATGTAAATTAAGTCAGATGCCCTTGGGAAGTAATTTATAAATAAAAAATTACAGAAAACAACCTGACAGTGCTGCTATACTTTAGCCATATACAGTTTTATAATAATGTGCATAATCAGTGGTGGAAAGCACACATATTTTCTACTTCAAGTAGAAACTTGATTTAATATCACTTCAATAAAAGCAGATGTGCCTACTTATTAATCTACATAAAGATTTTAAAGTCAAAATGGACTACTGAGAGGGGTAAATAATCAGCCAATCAAAGAATACACTTGTTTTTAAGAAATATTTATTCTTACATGTAACAAGAAACTACGGGCTTTTCAAGGATGGTGAAACGTAAGATTCTATTTTTATTTAGGTAGTTATAATGTTTTTAAGTTAATGCAAACGTTTCTCTAAATGAAAATATTAAAATACTTGGTTATTGCCCATAATTATATGTGCCCATTCCCACATTGTACAAACTACAGTGTTTGTAACTAAGCATTTAAAACGTTATTTAAATTTTTTTTTAGCAAGTTTGTTTTTTCCGTCACAAGAATAACTTTACTTACAACGCGAGTAAGTATGACGTGAATCTGCCATATGGCCAATCAAAATGCAGTGGGAGGAGATCCAACTCCGCCCCCTGGATCTAGATACAACTCCACCCTCTAGACCTGGATCCAACTCCGCCCCCTGGATCTTGTGTTCTGCAGTGAGGAGGTGCGTTCGACTTGAAGCACGGCTACAGATGGCGATCAACGAGAGTAGCCGCTTGCAGTCGGGGGCGGAGTTGAAAACGGAGCCGTCAAGCCGGACATTTCTGCTCCCGTTAGTGACGCTCACGCGGCGTTTGCATACTCTATCACAGATGAAGTGAATTAAATGCAATATTTGTCAAATACACAGACGTTTCAGAAACGTTTTCATGAGCAACAGAAACACTTTTTATATACTGCTTAATACAGCGCCATCTGTTCAAGAATAAAGTTCAACGTAAATATATACTATTTAAATACTAATAAAGTGGGGGTATATATGCTTTCATGATAAACGTGACTCAATATAACATTGCGACTACAGTAAAAAAGCTTTTACTGTTCTAAAAACAGATCTATGTGCAGTATTGGATTTGAAGATGTTAGAAACATACGTCATTGTTGTCATGTGGTGAATTTGGCCAATCTGAAACAGCTGCGTCGTCATCAGCGCTCCTGCAGTCGCTCTGAAAAAGCTGCGCCAGCTGAGTCAGCCGGCTGCTCTCGAAAGGCTATCGCGGTACTTTGATGCCGTTCAAGTCGGACTAAATTTCTAACCGGCATGCACTGCTTCAAGTCAGCCGCCGATCGGTCTGCGCAGTGCTGCATGAAGTCGAACGCACCTAGGGGCTACTAGGGGGTGTGTGACTGAGTGGAGGCGGGGCTAATTTGCGTATTCATAGATCAGCGTATAGTAAATGAGGCAGGGGTGTAGAGTTGTATTCAAGCTATTTTAAGGCATGAGAAAATTATTTTCACAAGAAAAAACATTTAAATATTTAATTTTGATGATCAAAGATGAGTTTTAAATAATAAAAGTTTTGACTACTGGGGGACTTTAATGAAGATGATTGTGTGTTGACCGTCTGCATCTTTGTTTCATTCGCGGCAGTTTGGCATCGGCTTGCTGAAGAGAAAATACTGCACGTCTGCGGCGATGCGTGTTGCATTAGCGCAGTCATCTGACTATAATGTCATATAGCCTAAAACATGCTCTCACACGTTTATTATTTTAACATTTTGGGAGGAGTAAAATTTACATATGTGGTTTCAACAACCAGATGCATTTACACTGGTCCAGTTTCGTCTGGAATGCGGCCCAGACCACCTCCTGAAGTGGTTTGAGCGATCGGATTTAAATCCGTCTCGAATGCGTTTCGGAGGGCATTTACACCTGGTCTTTTCACGATCGGATAGCTATCCGATCAGACAAAACGCATGAAGTGACCAGGTGTAAACAGGCCCTAAGAC